GAGCACGATCTTTCCGGAAGAAAGTCTCCGTGACAACTGCGCTACCGATAGCAGCTGCAGGGCTGATAAAGAAGGCAGTAATAGCACGGGAGAGACCCATGGTTGCATAGGAAGTACTTTTCGCACAGCCAATATTCCCAATCAAGCTGCAGATCAACGAAATCAGAAATATGGGGCGACGACCGTATCGATTACACAGCGGGCGCCAGAAGAGAGGCGCGCCGCCTAGCACGGCGATGAAGAGAGAGACAAGATAACTGGTTCGCTGCATACTGACGTCGAGGTCCTCGGAGATATTTTCGAATGCAGATTGGATCGACGAGGCAGTGAATGTGGCCATCATAGCGTGGAAGGCGACTAGGGTTAAGTTGAAATTTTTCTATCAAGGAACAATGTTAGAAACATGGTCAAAATGTGAATGGATGGCAGGAGTTATGGCCTCTCACCCTCCATCGCGGCCAATTGTATGGATCGGTATCGGTCATGTCAGGGATAGGTTCCAAATCGAGTGTTCCATGCTTCGCAAGAAGATATTGGCGATGTTCCTCGGATAGATGAGCGACTGGGTCTTCGACGTAGAATGCACATGGCTTTCCAGACTCATCTCCTTCATGAGTATTTGTACCCTTAATATAATGATGCCTCCTATCCATCTTCTCCATTGGATATGAAGGCCAGGGTCTGTGGGAATATAATAGCACGGACGAAGAGAAGGGGGAAAAAGGCAGAGTATCTATACACCCACGTTCTTATAGCAGATACCCCGTAAAATCTGGTATGTATCCCGTCCTTTCCCCATACTCCACCTTTATGGGAATCTGGGGGTGGGGCAAAGGAGGATAGTGTGGATGCATCTCCCCGGATTGGAGTGATTTGCAAGTACTGTACGCGTTTGCATGCAGGAGCCTAGAATACCTAATCATAGGCCATTCCCAACAAGGCACGATACATCCTGGCTAAAGACAGGGGGTGGATATAGTCTCAGCCGGTGTACCATTCGGATTGTGGGATGGTGTGGGGTGTGGAGAGAGAATAGCCCAGTATGAGGGCGGTCCTACTCATCATGACGAGTTGTCATTGAGGGTGACGGCTTGGTTTTGAGTCCCTTCTGCTTTGGCTTTTGAGAAATGTCGGGCCCGGATATCAACCTCTATTTTCTCTCGGTGAAGAAAGATCACGAGTCTCAACTCTCCATATTTGCTGCTTATCTGTTTGACCGTTCATGTTGAGATGAAAAAGTGGTCAAAGCTTCGTGTGGCTATGTGTAGAATAGGTGCAGAACGAGTGTAGAATAAGCGACTAGTTGTGAGCAATCTGCTGTAGAAAACTTGCTGGTAATGATGTGGGAGAGTTATTGGATGGATGTTATCTCGGAGATGACTACTCTTCTCGGACATACACCTCTACGGCACCTCGGACTACTCTTCCTAGCAAGTTAAGAAATATTCAACATTCCGGCCACCACAAACTGCTAGTCAATTTTGTGCTAGTCGGAACTTTCGATTGTTGACTATTTTCAAATCATTCTTCTCTCAAACTATTATACTCACAATCTAAGCCGAGCTCGACTGGCACCCCACGCCAATATCTCCATCAATTCCATCGCAGGTCACGACCGGGGGACCTCCAGCCGGGCTGACGATATTGATATCAGAGAGATGAATCCCCGAGCACACAGCATTAGGCGAACAAGTCAAGTCACCGATAACCTTGCCATTCTTCCCCGACGAAGTGCCATAGATGTTCTCGAAGGTAATGTTGGTGAAATTGACTGACGACGGGTACTCGGCACACGTGGTGGCGTTGACGTCGAAGTAGCACTGGTCCAACACAATAGGGGCGTCGGTGTTTTCGATGTGAATGTCCTTGTACGTGATGTTGTTAATGCGACCAAAGCCGATGTCCGGTCCAGCCCAAGCCTTGAGACGGACGCCGTTCTTGAATTCCTATTAGGATCGCTGATAAAATCGATATGCGGGTATCTTACCTGGCCGTTCAACAGAGTCACATTCTCAACCCAGGCATTCTCGATAATGTCCTCGACTCCCGAGTACTGTCCAATACTTCCCATACTAACGCCGTGGGTATTGTTGCACCACAGGTTCTGCACGAAAATGTTGGTTGTGTTGGGCTTAGGGGAGAAGCAGTCATCGCCGATATCGACGCGGGTGTTGGTCACACTGAGACCATCCACGTTGAAGGAGTCAAACCCGTCGGTATTTTTGGGCAAAGCCTGCGAAAGGATTAGAATTGATTGGTAATATAACCAGATACACAACCCACAGATGCGTTCGTGGAAAATGCGTTTATAAAGACATCGTCGAAAGAGACGTCCTTGGTGCGGACGAAGAAGTTGGTCCAGCAGGGAGAGTTGAGTTGGGTGATACCCTCAACAGATACGCGGGTAGCGTTGTCAGTCACAAAGAGAATGGGACGGTAAAAGGTGTTGTCCGGGTCCTGAATTATCCATTAGCACAAGTCATTCCCGACTCTTTTCATGCTCACCAAAACTTCTAGGCCAGCAAAGGCATTGTACCACTCCTGACCATTGCCATTGAGAGTACCCTTTCCGAAGATCTTGATATCCTGACCACCCCAGACCCAGAAGGTGATAGACTTTTGAAAAGAGTAGTAGAAGTGGTTTGCCTGCCAATATTCGATATCATCGGTGAACTATTCATGTCAGAGCGGCTCAATCAATCACAGTACTAGGGTGATGTACCTTCAATTCGCCCTCTAGCTGCACCTCGATATTATCCAAGAAGCTGAGGTCAAGCTTCTTGCCAATGACATACGTCTTCCCCTTCTGCAAGAGAAGTCTACCGCCATGATTGGCAGCCTTGATACCCCAAAGGAAATCATCTGAAATATCGTCGGTGTCACTCTCCGATGATCGAATTGTCACTGTCCGACGGTCGTGATGCTTGTGATGTCCGTAAGCACCGATCTTCTTCAGCCCCAATTTATCGTTGGCCGAGATGATCTGGGCGCCTTTGATAATATGTTCTGTCGCAAAAGCACCAACTGTGCTGAACAGGACCGCACCGATAGCGATGAACTTCATTATCACAAGGTCAATGAAATCAATTGATACTGCTGTCGGTTGGTCCGAGGTAGGAGAGTCATGCTAGCAGTCCTGCTAATTTATAAGAACACCCCGGAATATCGGCCATAGCAAAATGGAGCTTGTGCTTCTCCCCAGATTAGCAATATCCGGGGAACGGCACGGGCAGAGGAAAGAGATTTCTCCGCCTGTCAAAACAACTCCATCGCGGGCTGGATCGGCAGGGCCTATGGAATGCGACAATAGAACAAGTCCGCGGGTGTTGTTATAGTAAATGGAGTCATTTCTCCGCAGTTCGCCAAGGATATTCACAAGCGGGGATGCGGAGAGAGTGTCGGACGAGACTAGGCGAGCTTAGACATTGCATTGTTCGAAATTGTGCAATTCATCGTTGTGGCCGGGATTCATTCCCCCGTCTGAGGCTGGAGACTGGAGAGTCGTCGGGTTCTTCCACCAATCAGCGGAACTATTTGTCAGCAAGGTTCTCCTGGCAGTGGTTTTTCCAGGCATGGAGGACTTCCAAGACCTCAACACCTAGTCCTAGGTGGAGTAAGTTGTCCGTTTTGACAATTCGTATTCGGATAATAGATGCACTTGTATTGTTCGCATATATTATCGGAGATTAGAGAGCAATGAAAGAGCGCCTCCGTCTATTCTACAACTTCTTGCTGGCCTGCACCAGCGCATAAAGACAGCTGATGTTCCCGGACCACCAAGCCGCCGATCGCAGAAAGCTCAAAGAGTAAGATTCAATATTGCAGTAGAATAGGTGGTACGCGACCCGGGAAACCGAATACCAAGCACCGACGGTATTGATAGTTTCATTGGGGAGACCGGCGTATAAGGAGACGAGGACTAGTACAGTGCAGCAATTTCACAAGATGCAAGTTCATCGTGCGAAAAAGGAAAGGCAAAAGGAGTTCCACATACTCGCCGCAACGAACAAAGTGTATCCCTCCTGCGCATTGGCATGCGCCGACGTCTGTCGCTTGAGCTTGTCAAGGGCACGACGGGTAATCTTTCCCGACTGCACGGCCGCCTCACCGTACGTAGTCAAGTCCTCACGCGGGCTGACATTGTGATCAAGACCCAGGCGTATCTTTGCGCCGCGGGGGCTCGTCAGAATATACGCGAAAAACCAGTTCGCCGCCAGCAAGGCTGATGCGTGGTTCGCAGGTGCCTAGCCAGGGGCGGCGCGGAGGCCGAGAGTTGTTACAAAGGCACTATGAGGGTTAGTCTGGGGAGTTTTTCCCCCTCATGGATGTATATGGGCACTCACGACATTTTTGATTATTAGAGATTTGTAGAATCCAAATCCCTGAGCTATTTCCCTTCGACCTTTTCTATGTCCGTGTCAGTTTCGAGGGGGGGGCCGAGGCATGAAATCATCGCCTACCGATCTCGTACATCTTACAGGCTTGTAAGGGGTCCACTCTGGAAATCAAGCGACCCTTATGTTCAATTCGTAATGAATCGGACAACGGACCTGTTTCCTTCAAGGTCTGCCGGTTTTCGCATCGAGATCAAAGTTTAGTAATGAGAAACTCTTCCCTGACCCGCTGTAAGAAGATAGGAAAACCGGTCGCTGTGAAAAAGGCATTAATATTGATGTGGAAGGGAAGGAGGGATGGAGGAGGCAATTTATTATAAAAGATGCGCATAAATATGGCACACATGGCCTTGCCCCATGTTCGTTGGTATTGCCATGTTCATTAGGTTGGGAATATATACGGAGTAGGGTAAAACTACCATAACATATTCATGCCAGCGAGAAATAAATAATCTAGTTAATGCAATTCGATCAAGCTTGGAATCAGTTCCTGCGGACAATATCATTCAATCATTTCAATGTAGGAAATGCGTCTATCTCATGCTAAAATCCAAATAAGGATGTCAAAGGATATTCACTTAATATACAATCCCCGGTCTCGGCCACTCAGACTACATTTCTAGCAGATACAGTCTGCTCCAGTTCGCTCGACGAACCTTTCGTCAATGTCCTTTCTAGCGAGCCCCTGTAGCTAGCTTCCCCACTGCGACGACGCAGTACCATCGTGTCTGTTCCCTCGCCATGATCATCACCATGATCAGAATAGGGGCGCTGGTTTGAGTTACATGAAAACCGGTTGTTTAATATAACAGAGTGGTTATGGCGATTCACCACGCTATTGTTAGGAACAGGCTCATTTTCGGACAGAAGAATGATTTCTACCGGGTGGTCTCGGATAGTAGGGATTTTGAACCACTTATAGACGCAGCTCAGGATGGGGATAGAGAGCCCGTGAATGACGATAGAGAAGAAAACAAGCCAATATACCACTAAATCAAAGGTCAGTTTACATTATCTTGAAGTAGAAGTATATCATACCCGGTATCATGGCTGCAGTCAAGTTGTTGATCTCTGTATCACTCTCTCCAGGGTCCGGTAACAATCGTCGCGCATACTCGACATAGGAGATAGCGCCAACTCCTAAAACTGGTAAGCACTGCACTTCAACATAAAAACTCAACATCTCGGTTGGATAACATACCAATTGGGCCAAAATACCCCATGAACAGGGCCTCTTTCCAATTATCGCAGACCTTGGGCATGAACCGATATCCCATCATGATCGCTGGGATCCGACGGAATAACAGGATCAAAAATCCGAGCCCGACTAGTCGAGCGATAGTGATTCCATTCTGACTGGACATGTGAAGTTGATCCCATGGCATGATAGCGCCGAGGAAGATGAAGGTCCCAACGTTCAAAATGTTCTCGATTGTTGAGTTGAAAGAGTCATGTCTCTCTTCGACTTCGAAGTGGTAAGACCCATCCCAGTTCAATGCACAGCCGGCAACAAAGCAGGCAAGAGTTTCGTCCGAGCCAAAGCAGCCGCAGGTACCGACGATAAACAACTGCAAGCCTTCTTAGCATAAACTCCAAATCTTTCTCAAGAATAACTTACACCCATCGCAACAGGATATGAGAAGAAGCTCTCCTTGTCAATCCAACGCCTACACATGTCATTAGCTAGTTTATTAAACTGATAGTATATATGTGCATACCTTTTCGAGGCCAAGTTCAAGGCTTTCCGGCTCAGGAACCCGACCAGCACACCATACCCAGCGCCCATGACAAGCATATATAGCACTCCCTCAACAGCCCAATGCGCCAAAGCTCGGCCGACATCTCCACCAAACCGACCCGTACTCGGCTCACTAATCCAATCTCGACTCTGTTTCCTAGGACCAACTTTTACTGTCTCCATATCCGGAGCATCAGCATAACGAAGAAGGGCAATTGAGAGAAGCAAAAATGGGAAACCGAGTCCATCATTTCCACCTGCCTCGGCTGAAATAAATTCACGAAGATGTCGTCGGACATATTGATCTGCGAAAGGGCCCTTGGCGATAGCCTGTGAGAGAACGGGGTCGATACATATGACACATGACCCGATGATGAGGGAAGTCAACTGCATCAAGGTTAGTGGGAGTGTGTTCTCATGTCAAATATAATAAGATGAACGCACAAACGATAGATTAGGGATCATTAATTTGATACATGCCGACGTCATCAGCCACTGGATCGTCATCAATGGCAATAGGCAAATGGTTAGTTCGACCAGATGAAGCCGAATGTATCGTTTTGGTAGCTCATAGCCGACTTTGACCATAGCGATACCAATCACCACTCGGGTCAATCCCTAGTATAATTAGCTTAATGTTTTCTTTCGTGGCGAGAAGACCTACATAGGCAATATCACCACTACCGCTGTCAGTGTATCCTCCCCACTGGCCGACATTGACCAACTTCGCACCGAATGGTCCTAGGACAGCTCCGATTATGAAAGAGGGTACTGAATATTATCAGCGACCGATATCCAGTGAGATTGAGGGACGCCATACAAGCTTCACCGAGATACCATCTTTGCTTGATTTTCACAGCGATAAACCCGAAGACCAAGACGTATATTCCTAAAACTATCAATTAGAGAACATCCTGGACATGCCAGTTCAAGTCTTACCCGATAATGAGAGGATAACATTAACACTACTAACATCCAGAATTGGATGCAGCATCCTGTTCCCTCAAGCGAAAAACTGATGTTATGAACAGGATACAGAATGGCGATACGGGCTTTTGTAAATCACGCGAATGCCGACACGACGTTTCCATTATTGAAGAATGCTCCCTTCTTCGTGTCTGAGCCTAATCTTGTTGACCTCATCCACGACTTGCATGAACCCCGGAGCAAGGGGGTGGCTCTGTTTACGTGTCATGTCCATATAGGGAGCAATTGCTTTTGCTCAGGACGTCAAACTGCGTCGAATAAATATTGTAAGTTCCATTCTCGAAATGTTAGGACAAATAGGGATAACACGATATATGCTCGCGACTCCTACAATAGATATCAATGTAAAGTCAAAACAGTAGAATAACTATACCACTCCAGGACTATCAACTTGACGACCTTATCGTCTCATCTCCACAAATCAATATTCTGCTGCCTGTAATAATAAATAATACGTGTGAGATAATGCATGTGAGAAACACTACATATTGTGGCTGCGCCACCCCTATTTTCGGCCCGCCGCACCCGCGGAGGTGGGAAGGTTGAACGTTCCCTTGCGAGTCAGGGGCTAATTAACCATGAAGCCAAAGATGCTTCTAAGCCTCATTTATAAATGTGGCAAAGGGAGTAAATCGCATGTTTGGTATTTGCATTGTCCAGTATTAGCTCTGTCCGTAATCTACCCCGTAGGGTTAGAATGTTTCCAATTTTAGAACAAGGGATGGCAGGGATCACTCCCAATTCTACTTTGTAACAAGGAGTTAGTTAAACTGTTGTATTATTCGCCTATTCTGATGTTTTCTAGAAGGTCTTGGCTTGTCTTACATGGAATACTCAGATATAGATAAGCTTCGATCATCACGTTGTCATGTATATATACCTCAAACTGTAGACACGAACGCAAAACCCAACTTGAAACGGCGCTCAAACCTCCTTTTGACTATAGCTTTGATCATGATATCTCATGTAAATGCCTCATAACCCTATCACACGATTTCGCTATGAGATATTTTTCCAGTACGCAACAATTGACTTGCGAGAAATAATATAAAGTCAAGAACGTCTTGCTAGTTTATCAGTATTCCAATTTGAATCTACATTTTTCATTACATAATGGGTTCTATCGAGGAATTATCCAAGCAGCTTTCTGACCAGACGAGCGACTGCTCTTACGTCTATGGCTCACGGTTCGTTGCCAAACCTATGCCATCGCATCGGCTTCCAGATGAAGGGATGCCGAAAGATGTGGCCTACCAGCTGATCAAAGATGACTTGGCCCTGGATGGTCAGCCAATATTGAAGTGAGTCTATTTGTCAAAAATTTGAAAACTCAACTAACGTTACTGCTCAATATAGCCTCGCCAGTTTTGTGACCACATACATGGTATTTCAGCTTCTCGTCATATTTTTGACCCATACTAACACTGTAACAGGAAGACGAAGCTCTCAAACTACTCGCCGAATCATCGAACAAGAATATCATCGATCACGAAGAATACCCCAAATCTGTCGATATCGAACACCGCTGTCTGAACATCCTCGCCGACCTATTCCATTCCCCGATTTCTGACGGAACTCCAACCGCCTTTGGCACATCATGTATTGGATCTTCCGAAGCCATCATGCTTGCAATCCTAGCGATGAAGAAGCGCTGGCAAATCAACCGCCAAACCCAGGGGAAAGATGCCTCCAACCCAAACATCATCATGAGTAGCGGCGTACAAGTATGCTGGGAAAAGGCAACCAGATACTTCGATATCACCGAGAAGCTAGTCCCATGTACTGAGACGAGATACGTGATTGACCCAGTTCAAGCCGTCGACATGGTCGATGAGAACACCATTGGGATCTGCGCGATTCTCGGCACGACATACACGGGGCAGTACGAAGATGTACGAGCTATCAGTGAACTTCTCCTTGAGAGAGGACTGGACACACCCATCCACGTGGATGCCGCCAGCGGTGGATTCGTGGCCCCGTTTGTGAACCCGGATCTAGTATGGGATTTCAAATTACCCAACGTCGTCTCGATCAATGTCTCTGGGCATAAGTACGGACTGGTAAGTATCCCTTGATCGCCCAACTCCAATAAGCTCAATATGCTAATTTCCACAGGTCTACCCCGGTATCGGCTGGGCCCTCTGGCGATCACCAGAGTACCTTCCCGCGGAGCTAGTCTTCAACATCGACTACCTAGGTGCCGAGCAAGTGAACTTCACAATGAACTTCTCCAAACCAGCATCCCATATCATCGCACAGTACTACCAACTCATCCGACTGGGCCGAAGTGGGTACACAAGCATTATGAGAAATCTCACGGCAACAGCCGACTACCTCACCAGCCAGCTGCAAGAAATGGGGTTCATAATCATGAGTGAAGGTGGTGGCCATGGCCTACCGGTCGTGGCGTTCAGGTTGAGTTCGGCGCAAAACGTCTTCTTGGATGAATGGGCGCTTGCGCGTAAACTGCGCGAGAAGGGGTGGATTGTGCCTGCTTATACGATGGCTGCGGATTGTGAGACGATGGGGATGATGAGGGTTGTTGTCAGGACGGATTTCAGTATGGGACGGTGTGTGAGTTTGGTGCAGGATGTGCAGGATTCGTTGGGGGCTCTAGCGGGTTTGGAGATCCAGAACATTCAGCGGTATCAGGCGTGAGTATTCTTCTTCTGGACTTGATCTGGGATTTCTGCTAATCTTTGTTATTGGATAGATTGGTTCAAAGTTATGTTGCGATTTCGAAGAAGAATTGTGTTGATCGGGCTTGTTCGCGGTCAAGAAATGGGGAAAGAGATAGAGAAGTTGTGAGGCTTTGAGGGCTTGATTGGCTTGTCGTTCTATAGAGTTAGGTTCTAGAAGTTTTAGATGTTTTAGTTAGATGTTTTCTTGTATTTCTAATTAAGTCTTTTAAGAGAGGTCGTCAGAATGAGATGTGTATTTGAGGAAGAGGCTTCCATTCCTTTTACTAATGTTATCTTCACCTTTGTTAGATCGGACAGAGTTCCGTTAAGAGAATATTGAGCGTCTCATTTCTATTGATACTTCTCTATATCTTCCGGGGTGTGGTGTCTTGAGGAAGTGGGATTGTCAATCTTCTTCCTGCAATTTTTATCTCTTTCCTGGAAGCCAAAAGGATATGCATTTTTATTATTCTAACAATTTACTGTGACGAAAGATATTCTTTGACTAGATGAGAGTAGAGTTTGAGAATGACATTGAACAGAAGCAATATCACCGGGCATCAGTCATTAAAATTAGGGAATAGCTCCATAAGTCATGAGAATGTTGGAAGGTTTCCAGACAAGTCGGCATCCCAATCCCACAACTCTGGGCCAGTGTAATCTAATCCATCAAACCAGCCTCCTAGATCCGTTGGCTGAAAAAGGTCAGCATAGCCCCAAACAGCATCCAAGGAGCGCCAACTTACCGTGAAGTCACCAAAGTCGGTCGATAGAAGCGACGTAGGGTCAATATCACGTGGTGTAGCTGGGGCAGGATTCGTCCCCGAAGGAATATAAGTCTGAACAGGAAGGTTAGGTATGGCAGACAGACAGCTATAAGTGGAGATACCAACCTGAGCGGCGCAATTATCAACACTAATCTTAGCTTGCTCGTATGTAAGACCATTCAAGATCGCCCTGCAGATGCGAACGGATCTCTTCGAGGCCGTATCAACATTACACAAAGGATCCTCCCCCTTGACGCGCGATTTGACCGAAGCAAGGATGATATTCAAAAAGAAGAAAGGCTTGCACCCCGTCCCACCGGGGCCAATGCGTCTCCCGAAATTATCAGCGGTGCGCTCGACAGCCTGGAGCATCACGCCCTGTTGGGACTGGATCATGCTCATGAGCACGCTGGAGTTGACACCATCCATTCCGGATGTAGTAGACATACTCATTTCATTGGCTTGAAGGGACAGCTCCACACAGGCGGTGATTGCGGCGTGGAAGGTTTCATCACGGAACATACCGCTCCCCAGTTGAGTAATGTTCGGGTATATGATGTTCTCTGTCGCAAGGGGAAGTTCCATCTGAGAGAGAATGCCGAGGGATTCTTCGAGGCAGATTTTGCGGGAATAGGAGCATTTGGGTAGGCGTACGACACTAAGTGAGAAGGGGCGATGGAGGGCGAGAAGGAATTTGCGCACGATGAAGAGATGTAGGGATTGGGCGAATCGGTGACGTCCTGATTCTCCCAGAGCAATACTTGGGGCATTATCTTCGAATAGGGAGGATGCGTGTTGCATGGAGCGGGAGAGTTCATCACCCATTCGCAGGGCATCGTCGTATGATAGATTAAATCGGAGGCTATTGATTTTCTTCGCGATTCGGTATCGTAGTGGGAGGGTCTTAGCGAGGAGGGTTTGGTAGAAGCTTTGGGTATGAAGGGCAGTACTGAGCGGAGCTGGATTATCCTCCATGTCTGGTATCAAGTCCGCATCGTCCCAATTAGACGGTGGATCGCAGTCGCATTCGTCTAGATCAACCGAGGGTGGAGCCCCGCGGTCGAGGGAGAACTTGAGATCCAGCTCGACGATAGTTGTCCAAAGACGACGGCGCAGTTCAGAGTAGAATGGCCTGGCCTTGTGGAAACGAGCCGGATCACGATGCAGACCCATTATCGTCGCAGACCGAATCAACGACCCGGCTGAGGCCCAGGCTACATCCGCATCACTGGCGACTCCCAGGCGAGCTACCAAAAGAAGAGTCTGTGTCTGGAGCATTCGGAAGTCGATTTCTGGGCTCACAAATGTGCACGAGATATATGATTGAACAGCCATGATCCACTTCATGGCCGGTTTTTGGAATATGTCTCGGTCGTCTTGACCTGGAGATGGGACATAGAAGCAACTGCCTGCAGCCATCACAGCGAGTAATTGAGCGACGAAGGCCATGTCGGTTGGCTGGGTGTTGGCCCAGTAATCAGCGTACTGTCTCAAAAAGGTTGGTATGTGCAAGATTCGATACGTCGTCTCAAAAGTGTCGAGATAAAGCTGAAGCAGACGGTCTGCAACGTTTCGCTGGGGAACCAGTTCATTAAGCATGAAAGGCTGCTCGCGAAAGTCGCGCTGATGTTCTTGTATCTCATGCGACCAAAGCTCGGTCTTGAACTGTTTCATATCAGTGTACTCTTTATCCTTTGCTCCTCCGCGGCAACGACCACGGCGCATAAAGGTACCAATATCTTTGAACTACATCTAATTAGCAAATCAACCAAACAACGCAATAAAGGATACTCACAAAGGAAACAGTGGTGGTATAATGACTGCGACCGAAATAACGAGTCTTGGTCTTCTTCCCGCGGAAACTCGAATCTGGCAAGAATCGTACGCGGTCATCAACACCAACATTCTCAGAACTATTGGCCGTATCTACTTCAGAAAATATATCACAAACCGAGGTCTCAGGCGTCTGAAGATGAGACGACTTGCCGAGCGAATTTTCTAAAACACGCAGACGACTCCGGAGCTCATGTAGCTCATCGGAACGAGCGCGCTTTGAAACGCGATTTGAAGTCGAATTCGGCCCCAACTTCGAGTCAAAGACGAACATTCCCATTTTCCGGCCGGACTGGTCTTCTACGCCACCGTATGGTAATTGCGGGGGCGACATGCGTCGCTGATCAGATGTCGGATCTGGCTGAGCTCCGATAAAGACGCATTGGGCTGTTGTCTTCGAGCGCACGCATTGCCCGCAGGGCAGAGAGCGGTCACATTTTAATTTGCGCTTGCGACAGACTGTGCAAGACAGAGGCGGTCGGCGGCGGCGCTGTGGAGCGCGAGAATTTTCAACCTCGTCATGATCGGGAGAGAGGTTGTCTTGATGATTTTCCATCTTCAGGGTTGTCAAGGGATTGTGATTTCAGATTGATTTTCCTTTGTTCGTCGCAGGAAGTCCTTGCGACGGCGCTAGACATGGGTGAGACGTTGCTGCCTTGTCGGAGATGTGCCTTTCCAGATTATCTGGGTATACCACAATGTCTCCGAACGTATGTGTTATGTGTCTCTGTAACAGTTGTCAATCGACAGACGGCCTTTGAAACGGTGACACGAAGGCTTATTTGACGTAAATGTAAGTCTTGAGCTGCTTACTCGATACAGAATATCCGGGTCTCGGAGATACTCTTTCCGGTAATTGAGGGATTATGTCCGAGAGATGCTGATCGATAAACCAAGTCAAGCTTTGCCCAATGTGACTCATTGCTTGTTCTGCTTGAGATCTTCAGATATTATTTAACCCAATCAAAGCATAATCGCCGTCTCTGTACGGAGTACGGGTAAAGGCAAAATGACATCACAACGTAGATTCGAGATGTGTGCCTTGTACATCGGGCATCTACATGATTACATAATTAATATGGACGGCGCGGCCCGGACAGCGACTTCACCGAGTACAATGATGAAGGGAACTGACTCGGCTTAGATATGGACTTCCATGCTATGATTTCTGATCTCGAGGCGTGGTCCTCGCCATTAAACATGTGTCAGTTCTATGAGCAACTCCTATGGGCCTGCTTCATCCCTAACTCCAAAGTATGATGCCACCAGCTATCCAGATCTCTCGCGAGCTTACAAAGTAGGAATTGGCATTGTCCTATTTAGAGACTGTGCTACTGCACCACGAGGCACGGATATTGAGCGAGAGCTCACGTGGATAAGCACGCATACGAGCATACCAATAACGCAATTTCCTCACCCTGCAACATTCCAATCAGATGATGATAGCTTTCATTGAGACGAGATTGACATGGACCGACAAAGCCTATCACCAACTTAGATATGGTCTTGTCGTTCAAGAACTTGCCATGAGACTTGGGGCCCGCCACCAGTGCACTATGCAGGATAGGTCTGGCGCGGAAGGACATGACAAGGTTCACAATCAAGCGCATATGCAGGGGGAGAACGTCGCGCATGTTGGTATTCACCATTCCCGGGCACATCATGTTGATAATGACTTCCTTGGGATCCAGCCGCGGCGCCAACCTGTATATGAATGTCGCGCAAGGTTGCTTCAAGTCCCCGTAGCGCTGGAACGGGACGCAGGCATCTTCGCTGTCCATATGCGCAAGTAGACCTTCATCGGGCTTGATAGGAGGTTTCTTATCCAGGCTTATGGCCTCGTGCGCGCGATTGCCGACCCAGGCAATACGCGCAGGAGAGCCTGTCTTCTCTGCACTCCCCTCTACATTCGGCAGTAGCCCGGCAGTAAACAAACTTTGGCGTAGTAATTAACTTGAATGGTTCGGTTGTGGTCGCTCGCGCTGCGTTCCAGCTTGGGTAGACCGATACCCGCATTAAGAATGAGGATATAGACTACCGAAATCTCTTCGCGGAGCTACTTCGTGAGCCGTTATTCGCTGTCAAAATCATCAATATCAAGAACTATGACCTTAATGATCGCCCCCGGGTTATGTTTGAATGCGGCGGTCCTGGCGGAGAAAAGTTGCGTAGGCCTCACCCCTGGCAACATTGCGGACGGCGAGAATCACGATCGAGGCGCACAGTCGCAGCAGCTATTTGGTCGTTTCGGGATCCATTCCAGCGCTGGCACCGGTAATGACGATGAGCTTAAACGTCAGGTCATGTCCGTAGACAGGGAGGGGATCGACTTTCGGCTAGATGATGTTGCCCATGGTAGGTGTCAGAGTGGATTGGTGTCGCCAACGTGAAGAGCACAATGGATGATAGAAGGGAAGCATTGACGTAGTCAAACTGAAGTTTCTCTTGCTTATAACAAGCTACCCTGCTATCGTCAGCCTTGGAGGTGTTCAGGTGTTCAGCGGACGGTTGAGTTGGTGGGTGACTCAGCATTTGGCCGACCGTGGACCCGAGGACGCCAGATCATCGTTTAACCACCCAGGAATCGTGACTGAATGTGACCTCAGCACTAACACTGGCATCGATATCTACTACAAGATAAGCAACTATACCGTGGCTAACACACCCGCCGTGCTTACGGCCTTCGCAACCTATCTTTTGGATGCCGACATCAATACGGAGTACCAATGCGGAGATTCCAGATCAGTCCCAGCTAATCCGTACAGTATCTTGGTCGTGTACCTCCAACTACCTACATCCTTTGATCCATTCTTTAACATTTTCATGCCTCCGCATTTTATCCACCGACGGATGGCTCGCTCCTCCTCACAATTGGCTCCGCCGGACTACATCCGAGGGCGTTTCATACAGCGGCTTTGTCAACGACTCGTGTCCCAACTAGAAGCCGCTGCAGTCATTTGGAGACAAGAATATCAACTATATCGACACAATTGCGAAGAAGTATTGACCCCAAGAGAATCACGCAGAAGCTGCAGAAGCTGCAGAATCAGGCATGAGTTGTGAAAGGTATTTTGGTTTCCAAAAATATCTCCTATTTTCGGAAGATTTCCCCTATCATTCCACCAGCTTAGAATTGGCGTATTTCTTCGTATTCGTTCTTCAATCACGGCTTTGGTTTAGTGGCTTCTCTACAAAGACCAGCATAGCCAGCCACAAGCATAGCCATGAGGCAGATCATCCGAATTGTCGGATGAACGTTCTTCCACTAGGGTGGAACCTCAGGTCGTAGCATTCACTCTCTTAGATCACACTATCAATGATAATCAATGATACTTGCCCTCGCCATATATCCATTTCGCCCATGACCTACTACGTAACTACGTAACCTCATGATAAGCCACGCGAGTCGCCAAGCCACATAACCCGATTAGTGCATTGACAACTGCCCAAGGACACAATTCCGTTCACACTGGCAACCGGCAAAGACGGTATATATATCATGCATCGATGTGCTCCAAGGACTTTTTTATCCTTTGTTCCAAGAGAAAGACTGTCAAAATGTACGGATACACCGCAACGCCAATTCCATCATCTTTCCGGCAATCTCCGCATGAAACAACATAAGATCCAGAACATGGCCGGCTACCGCAAACGGGGAATCATCACGCTCCCCAATAAATCGCATCATGTCATCCGGGAGCCTGACATGAAAAAAGAAGTCTCCTTCAATCAGGATGTGTTCAACTTGTCTCTTGCTCTGTCGCAAAGCCGCATAAATGATGCGACGGAGTTACGCGGCATGGTCTTGGATGTCGATGGCTCCGTCAAACAATCTGAAATTCGAGGAACTAGAGATGAGATTGCTAAACAGTGGGGATTAGATGGTCGCGATCTGCGCAACGTGGATCTTGTCTCGGAAGGAATCCCGCATTTGTTGGTCCGTCCGTCTGTTATCTTCATCAGCATGTTCACTTTACGGCTCCTGGTCCGCACAAATGGAGTGCTTCTATTTCTTCTCCCAATTGAAAACTCCCACGTGAAGGTGCAGGATGTCTTTATGACAGACCTCCAGGGCAGGCTCCAACCCTGTCCTGGCTCTGGTCTTTTATCAAAACTCCCATTTGAGCTACGAGTAGTGGATGCGGCGCTTGCCTCCGTGATTGCGACTCTTGAAGCCGAGCATATTCTTATCCGCCGAGAAGCTGAAGAGAGCTTGCAGGATTCAACAAGAGAAGATGTTGTTTACTCTGTTCTGCGCGGGTTGCAGAATCATAAGAAAAGGCTCGTGGCAATTCAGCAGCGTGCCCGCCAGTTCCGCTCCGCGCTACGGGAAATTCTTGAAAATGATGAAGACATGGCGACCATGTTCTTAACGGATCGGGAGGCAGGTCAACCGCATGAGGTAGATGATCACCAAGAAGTGGAATACCTCCTCGAGGCATATTACAAGAGCACGGACGCTATTGCGGAGTCTGCCAGTGCTTTACTAGGCGATTTGGAGCGCACAACGGAGACCATTCAATCAGTCTTGAATGTACGACGAAACCAGATCCTGGTTTTCGAGGCTCAACTGGAGATCTGTATGTTGGGATTTGCCGTGTCAACTTTTGTGGCGGGCCTGTTTGGAATGAACGTGACAAACTTCTTTGAAGACAGTCCTTCGGCATTTGCAATTCTTGTCGGAACGTGTATGATTGGAACGGTCACTATCGCGAAGTATGGGCTATGGAAACTCAATAAATTTCGGACATTGCGTTTTTAGAGCGAGCTTGCATATTCATCATTGGAAAAATCAAATGAAGTCTTTTTCTGTAGGCGAGGATGCACGGGGATCTAAATTGGCAGTGCCATTTCTTGTATGAAGTAGAAATATAAAAACGAGAGGTGCGACTTGACCTAATCATGATAGGCTGACGGACTACAAAGCAGCAGGGAAGTTATATATATCAAGTCATGTGCTTGCAAGTTAGAGGCGAACCCTTTTATCAGATGAGTAGAGGTAGAGGCATATATATATCTATAGAGCAAAGCGTGTAATAAATTTGAGATTCACAACATTTGATTTTCAAGAACCGGAAACACTCATCCAAATCGACTCTCACTGACACTCAGAGCATACGGCTCCGGGGGATTGAACTTCAACTATTACCATTACTCCCACCAGTAAGTGACACCTCATATCTCTATTTAGTGGCTAACCCGTCTGGTGTCTGCATTTGACTGACAAGTATTTTTACAAATTAGGGATGATTCCTACGACTACTCAACCTCCATGGCAGCACGCACTACAACGGCAGCAAGGGCGATGCTGTGTACACCCCCCCTGCGCCTGGATGACCATCCAGGAAAGGAGGCTTCCGCCCAGCATGTCCTTTACCGTTTTCCCCTGGGACGTCACAAATGCAGCCATGATTACGCCGGGAAGACCGGCTTTGCACCGCTGCGTGTATCCAGGCCCCCAACAACCCCGGCGCCGACGATTTCGCCACAGGAGTCGTTTACAACCACAATCTAACAGCCAGCTTCTACCATTTCTTTGTGGGACGTTAATTGTTATGCGCCCGCAGACGGGCCGAAATAAGTCCACGCTTGTGCGTTTAAATCTCGAAGGACGTCGGCTGTGTCAGCGGCCTGTCATGCGCCTAGCGCGAAGACAAAAACTGGTTCTCAGACATGGCCATCGTGTAATTGGGGTGGAAAATACTCGGTACATCGACGCCCAACCAGGGTCTGGGGAATCAGCAAACCCCGGCGAAATGATCACCCTCTCCTTATACTGAACTAGGCAGGTTATACCGGGCCCGCAATTCTTCGGTACGTGGAACGATTGGCTCTTTGGATCTATTGTTATAATTAATTTCCTTCAAGTATTCCGACTGCTTGGGCCAACGATGGAGCCTAACTGAGATTCACCTTGTTATAGGTTCCCGGCGTCACTAGCAAAACCGTTAGACCGGTCGGATATTGCACCAAAGGGCCCCGATTGGGGTCTTCGAATCAGTATCCACGTGGTCGCCGGCATTTCCAATCTTGGCAGAAGCCTCGATCCACAACGGGCTAGGCGGACATTCGCAGGATCCAACAAGGCCGTTGTTCCTGCCATTGTTCTTATTTACGGAGCATACCCTTTTCTGTTCGTTGTGTTCTCTTGCTTCTGATTTGCTGTGGGATATTGACGTGCAGATCATAAGGGATGTGAAGAATACCCGGAGTTCCCAGCGGATATCTTTTCCTGTTCTACTCCGTACTCCGTACAACATTGGAAAACGGTATTTTCTCCTATCAATTGGCTTGTATTTTATTCAGCAACAGCGCAAATCCGAAAGGAATTGGTGTCCAAGTGTTACATATGGTATTAAGCACCAGCAGACCCAAAGCCTAATATACTAACTGTATCTAGTCAGGCCGACTGAACCTTAAAACTTATACGAAGGAAATAATGAAAAATCATACGACTGGAGGAATAACATGATCCCCTCGTGTCAAAATGTTATGCACCAAAGCACATCAAATTTTGTTGCGGTGCATTCCGTAGTATTCCGCAGTCCTCTTACTAGTTGCAACACAGAGAGTATTAAAATACGGATTGATCCTCGCAATATTAATCTTGTACACATTAGGCATACCGTTTGTCGCTCAATAGTGGATAATCATGAATCCTGACACTTGAAGTGGATCGTCTCTGACAAGTCTGTTTTGCCGCTTCGGGGGCTGCATGAGAGGAATCAATTCTCTTTAAAGTAAGCATTGCCGCACCTTGATCTTGGCCTGTTTCGAACGTCCAAACACGATGGCTGCATACAATGCCCAGGATAGCTACCAAGGGTCCTATCGGGCCGGGACGATCACGATGACTGTCCTGGGCGTCTTGTTCGTGATTTTACGTTTTCTCGCACGGTGGAAGAAATCACTAAAGCCAGGCTTGGACGACTATTTTATCGTGCTCGCTCTCTTTCCTTTGTTAGCACTCGTTGGATTGATGCTATCTTGTACGACACATTTCCCCTAAAGGTTGTTGATTCTCATGCTAATCGTCGACAGTAACTAATTATGGCATGGGTTTACATTCTCAGGTCTTGCCGTTAGCAAACATCATAATGATTGCAAAGGTTCGATTCAAATTACAGAGGATACAGTTGATGCCTCCGCTAACATCCAAGTAGCTTCTACTGATATTTGAGATCATGTACGTCACAACGGTAGCAACCACCAAAATTTCTATCCTCCTCATGTACTGTCGCATCTTCCCCACGAGGGAAATCCGCATCGCCTCCTTGGTATTGGGTGGGATGACACTCTCCTGGCTTGTCGCTATTATCCTCGTGAGCGTCTTCCAATGCAATCCGATTCCGCGAGCCTGGGACACGCGCATTCCTGGTAAATGTATCAACCTTAAAGGCATGTTCATCGGAAACGCAGTACCCAACATTGTCACCGACATTCTCATTCTGTCTCTACCGGTGAAGGTGGTGTGGGGACTGCACGCAAGCCTCACGCATCGACTGTCCGTGATAGGAATATTTCTCTTGGGTAGTTTGTCCGTATATCCTGTTCCTACATATTACTACTTTGTGACGATAGACTAACTGGGCTGTTCTCCCGTAGCGTTGTCTTCACTAGTGCCTATCGCTTCGCTACCATTTTTGGATTCGACCCGACGGACATTGCCTGGACACTCGGAAGATCCTGCACCTGGTGTGTCGTTGAATCCTCAACGGGTGTTATCTCCGCCTGCATGCCGACCCTGCGCCCACTGTTCATGATAGTTTCATCCAAGTTCTCCAGCCGGTCTGGGACTAGATCACGAACTACTGATATCGACCAATCTAAAGGTTATGAGTTGGATAACTCTGCCCTACGACCGGCGAATGAGCCGCGTAATAAAACCAGAACACAGCTGGAGGTGTCCCATGCCGACGATGGGTCTGAGGATGAGGTGCCATTGAATTCCATCCGAGTTCAGCAGTATATGACATGGCAAGAATCCAGGGGTGACTCTTTTCGAGGATATAAATAAATACTTCAGCAAATGATATACATAATCTCTATTTTAAGCAGCTTCGAAGCCGGGTGACTTCAGACAAAACATAAATTAATTCCGTAGAAGAATAAACAGTGAGCATATCGATATGTTGCATTTGGATGGGGAGACTGGGAGAAGGTAATGATAATTTTATGTTGGTGACATCAGAGAGCTTGGGTGATATGCTTCTGCATCCTGGGCTTACAACACGATTTACAACATCAAATGATGTCTCAAATGAAGGATTCGGTGGTACGCACTAGTAAGATAACCCGTCAATGGCCAGACAAAAGATTGGTGATTTAGAAAAAAAAAGAATGCGAGAAAGGCAGGAGACCATAGCTTGTAAGACTAAAACTAAAATGGAAATTGCTAAAAAGACATGGCTAACAAATGGTATACAAATCAGATTCTATCTTAACGATTTGCACGCTTCAATAGGATGGTTATCAAGTTCTTTCTCGAGCAATGATAATCAATCAGGAAAAGGTGCAAGAAATGCTATCTTCTCGCTAGCTCGAACATGAATTGCTTTGAGCTTCATGATCAAAGATGTCGGAATAAAAAGAAATAACAGACACACGGTCCAAATGCGAAGAAATACAAGAGTCAAGATCGACTGAATTACAGAGCGATCATTCCAACACCCGCCAGGAGTGCAGTGGCAATGTAAGCAGCCACCTGGAAAGAGCCAAAGGATGAGCTGTGGTGCACCCTGATGGCGCCGCTGCTAGAAGTGGTCGACGAGGCTGTCGAGGAAGCAGAGCTAGAGTCGGCAGTTGCAGTGTTTTCGGTAGTAACAGTTCCGGTTCCAGCGGTTCCAGCCTCTTTTATCTGTGTAGAGCAAGTGCCAGTGGCCTTGGTAGAGGCCTTGACGGTTGCGGACCCGGAGAAGCTGCAAGCATCGGCAGCACGGTCTTGCTCAACGTAGTACTTGTTCAAGGCAAAGGCAAGCTGCTGCTTGGTTGAACACATGCTATAAGCACCGTACTCGCCGGTGGTAGCATTGGCTGTCAATCCGCTGCAGTCGGTGTAGCCGCAGACGGTGCTGAAGAGGTTGGCGTACTTCGTCGAGGCGAGGGATCCGGCGACAACGCACGCGGAGGCATCGTACATGCACTCGCACAGCTGGGAATCGGCGGCAGGGGGCAGAGGGGAAGATTTGGCGTCCCAACTGGCTCCGACGGTAGGGCAGCTTTGCAGGGCGGTATTGGTGGGAGTGTAGGAGGCCTTGTTGACACCAGTGGGGTTGGCGTTGGCGATCTGACTGGAATAGTATTTGAAGTCGGACATGGTCTTGATACTGGTGCTATCGACGACAGAGACCAGACCTAAAAGTCTGATTAGTTACCCGCACATATATGTGGGAAAGGAATCATTTCCTTACCGTAGTTGTTAGCCTCCTGGAAGTACATGTACACAATACCACCAGACCAGACCTCAGCCATGGTATCGCCATAGAGGGCCTTCACCTCGGTGAACTCGCGGGGCGTGACCTCGTTGCAACCATACTCGGCGAAGAAGACAGGGACGGAGTAGTTGGCGAACTCTTCGGTACGAGCCTGGTATTTAGATTTCGCGTAGGTCGAATTACCGCACCACGAGTAGATGTTGTATCCCCAGAAGTCAATGCTGTCCTCGGAATCTCCACAGTCGAAATAGTCGGCCATGTTCGCACGGATGTCGGACACATCGGCGGTAGCATATCCAACACCCATAGATCGGTAGCCCTTCTCCTTGATGTACTTCTTGGTGTCACGAACAGCGGCCTTGACAAAAGCGCTGGCGTCGGAAGTAGCAATGGTGTTGGAAACCTCATTTCCAGCAAAGAAACCAATAGTGTTGTTGTACTGGGCCAGTTCATCAACAACACTAGTGTATCGGGCAAAGAGATCGGTTGTCCACGAAGGATCGTTTCGATCGATCGATAGATCGGGGTCTGACAGATCGGAGATCACGTAAATACCAGCCTCGGACAAGAGTTTCATACACGCCGAATGGTCAGCAGAGGCGTTGATGGCATAGGTACGGATAACATTGGTGCGGAGTTCAGCCATGATGGGAACATCACGCGCACACGCGGTGGCATCGGCTAGAGGGTCAGTGTAGCCGCTGCTACTCGTACTTTCCTCTGCAAACAGGTTAGTCGAGATGTTGAGGTGACTGCATAAACGACCTACGTTGATAGGCGACTCCACGCATAAAGCTGTTCTTGTCAGTCACCGAATTTGAGATACATCGATACATTCGGACTTACAACTGAGTGTCATTGCTAGAATAGAAGAACTTGGAGCCCTATTGACAGTCTTAGTACACCACAGTTTGAATACATGTAACATGTATAAAGACAGTACCTTGATGATGATGGGATCCAAATCAGCAACAGCAACCCCAGCCAGGGTTGCCAGTGCCACCAAGGAGAATTTCATGGTGAAGAATGGTCTTGCGGAGCTGATGCCGCAAAGGTTTATAGCGAATGTATGTAGTTGGAATAATTGGATTGGAAAAGATAGAGAGAGAATCAAGGAATCAAACGAGTGAATAATGACTGGTGAAATGGGAGAGCAAGGTCAAAGACGGGGGGAATCCATGGCTTCAAATCCATTAATAGTAAGATTAATAGTGTCAGATAGTCCAATTCTATTTGCTCTTTCTAAAACCACGAAAAGGACGCGTATAGCCAAGCTAACATGCCCAATATGGTCAAGTGCTTTGAAGCCATCGTTCAATAGGTTTAGGCCACTGGCGCCATGGCAGTTTTCCCGGAGATAATCTCTCAAAAATAACATTATTAGGGCTCGAGAGCGAATCGGTTCATGTAGTCCGAGCGAATAATAATAGAGAGATGGATAGGCTCCACGTACTTAACTGGACTTGGCTTTGGCAGTTCTTTGTCGATCTGCAAACAAAGACACTACCACGTATGCATTTCCCCATCGAAATAGGCAGCCATCAAAAGTAATCTTAAAGTAACAGTTATTCCCTCACTAGTTGAAGTGAAAAAACGGTAAAAAAAATTCAGCTGACGCGGTGCGTGGTGGGGCTTCTTGGTATAGCGCCGACATTGGGTGGCTTTCTCCTTTTTCTGTCCTCAAAAGATCTAATTTAATTCGGCGCTAGGTAGATTGAAGCTATAGTCTGTTTACAGCATTGCTTGGCCCTAGGAGATAATGATATTATTGGCCAAAGAAAACTGTCCAAGATCTTGAATCACCTCGGAGATGATTTCTCTGTATGGCCGATTCATCTATGCACAAGTATTTATGCATGTCATTCTTCCCTTTCATATGCGTAAGTAGACTGTCGCAAAGATTCAGGGTTATGAGGGCTCATGTGGGAAATAACAAGTTAAGAATATCTTAGTTACAATCCACGATGGGTATCTTTAGGAATTGCTGTATACTTCGGGCCAACGTAGTCTAGAAAAGATCGACCATGTAGATCAAGTCGGCTTTTCTCCGATTCTACGCTCCTTCGGCCATGCTTGCAATGTATGCCAGCTTCCAATAGCCGACCGACTTCGTTCGATATAAGTTCACAAGGGCAAACTCCGGTCGAGAGTTGCACAATACCCTTTGCGAATGGGCATGTGTGGAAATTCTTATACAACATACATGACTGGATTTTGTGGGGATCTCACAGCACCCACTCCCTCCAATATATATTTGTATAGATTCCCCTCAGTAGTAATCATGTTTTGGAAATTGTAAAGAATCCTAGTGGACTAAAAGGCCTACGCCGGCAATTGTCATAGATGTTTCTGGGCAGTCTTCATGGGTTTATGGTTTGAAAACAGAATTTACATGTCGCAATAAATGGCCAGAGACTACATTTCCGCTCATTTTCCAAAACCCGTTACAGATGAAAGAATAGTTAACTCGAATTTCGATATCTCCATGTGACTCCATTATACACATTAATTATACATCGACACCTCGTGTTCGAATTGAGATTGGCATTAAGAAGCGTTCCTTCGTTTCGTCCTGGTGTAATTACTTGGTCCTGATCCCTCCTTTATATTCGTTGCTGTTTGCGATGTGCATCGATGGCTGCATCGAACGATCGAATTGTGTCGAGCGGGCGCTCGAGTCGGCTGCGTGTTGGGTTGGAGAGATCGGGATCGGCTATCACCAGGTTAGAATGCAGTCCTAATCGAACATAATTGTACTCGGTGACTTACTGATGAGCTTTCCTTCCCGGTCCTTATGCTGGATGCTTCGGAGCGAGAATGTATCCCGAGATCCGGGTTGGAGGTTCACAGCGGCTACTTCCTGTCAGTGGGTGCCCTATAGTAAGATGGACTATTTTGGCGGGAATACACACTAGGTTCTGATTCATGTAGGGCCATGTTAGGATCGGCCTTGCTCTGAAGAGAAGTCTTGGGGCTGTGGTGCGACTTGACCGAGCCAGAGCGCTCGCTAGAAGCCAATGAGGACGGCATGACAGGGAATGAATGAGATGAATTTTGATTGTGAGAATTGATTTTGTCCACAACGTATATCAAAGTAGTATGGTGAACCTAGTGTGGTAAGTCTAGCAATGCGGTAACCAGCTAGGCGGCGAATTTGATCCTCTATATATATACCCCTCGGTCGCTCTTGTCATTTGCAGACGTTGGTAAACTAAGAATAGATTGCTTCTCGAAACATCAAAAATCGAGATCACGCAAGCTGTGGCGACACCTGTGGAGGATTGGTTAAGACGATGATTGGGCCGATTCTGATCGGCACTTGTAGGCGACTCGCTACAATCCAATTTCGTATGACGTTAATGGTCCACCGGAAGCACTCCCAATGGCTAGCCAAGCTTCTAATGGCGTCCAGCAGAATGCTTAGCATGTGTTGTGACCAATCCGAATGGATGAACACTACAGGGGCCACGCAAGCACCGGGGGCTGGAATCTTGAGATGCCCCAAGTACCCGCAAAGATTCCAGGTACCCGTGTTGTGTTGCGTTTTCGAGCAATCATACATTAGGGAGACATGAGCTGACGAGGGCAGACTGTACATCAATCACATGTATGGAGTATATACTTCGTACATATGCAAGTATTCCCCATTGTACGACAACTTACCTTCCCCGGGGATGATCGCCGGTTTCGAAAATGTGACAGGACCGCCCCAGCATTCTTCCTCCAGGAACAATCAATGACACCCTGTGCTTTGTGCAATCTGGATCTCACATGGTTCTACGGGGCAGTGCTGGGAAAGAATGTTTCAGGACGATCTCGTCGTTATGGTCACATTATCACGATGCTTTTTTTTAGCTTACACATACATAATTTGTATGAAACGAGGCTGGAGAAAAGGCTACGCAATCAATATAATAATCGGAGAATAGAATCCGATCTAGTAGAGCAATTGAACAGAATGATAATGGCTTGTAATGCATTATTATTACTTCACTGCGATGTCATAACCTCTCTTGATCCGGTGATCGCCGGATTTGAAACATCCCCAGCATTCCCAACGTCGAACATTCATTGATTTCCTTCTCTCCAGATTGCTTTGTAACAATGGGACCCAGCCCCTCATGTGGGCTGCGATAATGTCATTTCCCGTCATGATCTTGGGATGCATCGTCGCACATGACCGCATCCCCATAACTGCCCAGTTTCTCAAGACAGTGCGGTCGCTTTCAGTCCGTCGATCTTTCGGGATAAACTGGACCATTTGCGAGTCAATCGCACAAAGGGCCAGATGCGGCGCTTAGACCTCGGAATGCCACCTGAATGCCACTTGGGCGTTTAGTCATAATTCCGAGCGGGGAAAATGCGTGCAATGGTAGCGCTTTTGATGACCTTCCACTCATTCTTATACGGACTGAGTTTTAACCACGGTGTTACTGTTTTTTGTCAAGTGCGATCGGACACTAGTACAACCGACAACTGTCGGAGAAGTGCAATGGCCGAATGAACACCCTCGAAAGTGGATCTCACCGATGCATTCTTGGTAGAACGCGGAATCAGTCCAAAGAAAGCCTCACACTTTTTCTTATTCCCTTCGTGATCAGCCCTCACACCAGCCATTATTTGGATTTCCACATCACCCAGCATCTCCGGCTGTTGTTGATTGCACTCATTAAATCGTCTCTCTCCGCATTAGTAGTTCGGGAGGAGGCGACTAGAGCTTTGGTCTTGGCAAGAAAGCCGGGGTGTCATCCGTGCCAACTGTAGCAGGATTCTTGATGGCTTGAACAAGATAGCGCAGTCCACGGCCATATATTTCTCGACTGGCAAGAATCTGTCGTTGATCGCCGTTTACTATGCCTAGCTGCAAGCTCCCAAGGCTGCGAAACCTCCATTCCATTGCAATTCGTGCGCCACGGTCGTACTGAGCGATCTCGAACCAAGGTAGTTCCACGTGAGTGCTGTAGCTGTAATAAATGTTCGGAAATATAGCATCCACGAAATCACAAAAGCCCTTCCTGTATTGCCGGTCTAGCGCCTTCGAAACCAATCCTGGCATCAGAGCCTCATCCATAGACGCACGGGGAATCGTGGCGCATTGCTGCGCTTCTTCTGCAGTGACCAGCGCCATATTTGATGTTAAATATTGTGCCCGGGGGAAAGTGGTTCTTGAGAGCTGGTGATGACTGCTTGATGCAGAGAAATGGTAGAATTTCCGGTTCCTGATGTAGCCAGGACATGGGTTCCCTCTTCTCTCGCATGATTGACATCTCGGCTGGGGTTCATCACACTGGACACGGAATTAGAGTGTTACCGCAAAAAGAAAATAGCCTACCACTGGGGATTTCCTACTTTAACCCGCCGTTGGAGACATGCCAGGCAGCCTTTGCTGCGGGGAACACCAACCATCGGTTCTCATCTGATCCGGTGTGTTATGACATTTATCGTATGGGTATGAGGCGAAAAGGAGACACATTGCGAGAATACGAGGTTGTCCAGGGGAGTCCCTGGCACTTAACTTGCACCGACGGGGTACTCCGTACGAAGTACGAATTTTCCCGTGTGCATTGGTGCATTGGGCGCCTCGCGTGGGTTTCGGAGTGCTTGGAGTTTACCAGAATCGGAGCTTGGCGGAAAAAGGGGAGATTTTCCTTTTGAGAGTTGTACAACATAGGAGTTCAGAGTTCGTGTTCGACATTCGGGCGATGAGTAGGCCACTGGTTCATGACTCTCTCATTGGATACTTACTACCTTACCGCCCCTACCACCGCCTTCACGAACCATGTACTCCGTACTAACTTCTTTTATTCATTTAATTAGTATGTAGTAGAGTATTATTAATTAATCTATAGGCTGATTTTTGGGCTTTGAATATGATAGGCAAGTTAAAAGATACAACCAACATACAAGGGACCTTGAAATCTTTCAAGACTGTGAGGGTGGATGACTAAGATACTGCCACCCAATAATATCCAATCACAGTTCACTTGGCCATAGCCGACAGCCGACTCCCGGCAATCTGACCGAGGTATCTCCGCGCCGACTAGTACGGAGTACGGAGTTACGCATTCGGGAATTCGACCTCGCATCAATCTTCTAAATGCACAAGACAACTAGCTGGCATTGCAACGACAGGCTCTAATACCAGCCCACAATGAAAGCATTCCTCTCACTTCTCGATCACAAGCCCTGTCCGGTGTAGTTCAACATGCAAGAAAATCACATCCATATCGCGTCATTATTCCAACCCGCCCTCTAGGCCTCTGCCTCTTGCTGGAGTTACAGTGGTTAGCCTCGAGCAAGCTATTGCTGCGCCCTTTTGCTCGCGACAACTTGCCGATCTTGGAGCTCGAGTCATCAAGGTTGAACGACCAGGTGTTGGAGACTTTGCACGACATTATGACACGCGAGTCAATGGCCTAGCGTCGCATTTTGTATGGACCAATCGCTCTAAGGAGAGTTTGGCTCTGGACTTCAAATGCTCCAAGGACCATGCAGTCCTGATGAAGCTCCTCGACAAGGCTGACGTTCTCGTTCAGAACTTGGCTCCCGGTGCTAGTGCGCGACTGGGGCTTTCTCACGAGGCATTAAAAGAGAAATACCCTGGTTTGATCGTGTGCGATATATCGGGATATGGGCAAGATGGTCCATATCGTGACAAGAAAGCCTACGACCTTCTTATTCAGAGTGAGGCTGGAATGCTATCCGTCACGGGCACTGGAAAAGAGCCGGTGAAGGTTGGTATCTCTATCGCCGATATTTCCGCGGGAATGTACGCCTACAGCAACATTCTCTCGGCGCTACTGCAGCGTGGTAAAGATGGCCAGGGTTGCCATCTTGACATCTCCATGCTAGAGAGTATGGTAGAATGGATGGGATTCCCTATGTACTACGCATACGACAATGTTCCAGGACCGCTGCCAGCAGGTGCCTCGCATGCGGCTATCTACCCTTATGGACCGTTCGGAGCTGGTGATGGCCAGTCGGTCATGTTGGGCGTTCAGAATGAGCGGGAATGGGTTAGTTTCTGCAACCGCGTCCTCTCACAACCAAATTTAGCCATCGGTCCTAGATTTTCGAGCAATTCACAACGAACTCGAAATCGGGATGAGCTCAAATCTATCATCCACGACGTGTTCTCGAAGTTTACAGCAGAGGAAACAATCGCTCGGTTGGACGAAGCGTCAATCGCCAATGCTAGTGTCAACGACATGAAAAATGTTTGGGACCACGCTCAGCTTCAAGCACGAGAGCGGTGGACCAAGGTTAAAACTCCCATGGAGCCATCCCGGCTCTTTTGCCTCCTGGATCAACCAATCCCGCCGAAAAGGGTGGATATGGCGCTCAGATGGGTTCGGTTCCACGGGTTGGAGAGCACAATGAAGCCATTCTAGCGGAGCTGGGTCTATCAGATTGATCCTATATACAACAAATATTATAAGAGCCCAATAATTCACACAGATAATTTGATGCTTCTGATTGGCAAATGAGGCCATACGAGTTCTCTATTGCTAGCAGGCGATGTTGTTCACCCAAACCGCCCATATCCCCCATGAGCGCCAATGATATATCAATATGTCTGCACTCGTCGTAACCCTAAGCTTCAAGATTAGCGACTTGACAGTCTTTATCACGTACTCGAGGTGGCAGCCCCTAAGCTGCCGACGTTTGTTGGTCGCGAACTTGATATAACCTTAGCCTCGGGGCATTCCAAGCAAATATTGAGAAGCAAAAGGCCCTCGTATTCTTGTCGCCTGCTATCTGTGATACGTTACTTCAAGCTTATTTTGACTGGCTCCATCCATGTTTTCCAACTCTTGATCAGGTAGATCTGCAAAGTAACCATCAAAATGGCACATTGTCACCATTGCTCTTCCAGTCAATGCTCTTCATTGGAGTGAGCCTGTACTCGGATACGGGGCGGGGCTCGGCTTCTTCGGTTATATGACCTCGGTGTTTTGCCGACATCTCGATAACCCATTTTAGGTGCCAGACAAGAATCGGGGCCACTCTGGATGTCCGGATTCTTCGACCCGACCCTTGTGGAGCCCAGAGGACCGGAAATCAACGGCCAGGGCCTTCGAATTGAGATGGGATTTGATGAGATCACGCTCTACAGACGATGAGAATAATCAATCCCAAAGAGTGGCTTGATTCCTTTTACTATGTTTCTCGAAGGCGGAACACGTCCCGTTCCCCTCCGCTCTCGTTAATACTGACAGAATGCCAGAAATACATCAATGCCCTTGTCATAGATACCTAGGCTACGGCAGCACTTGACCATATAGCTGTTATCCTGCCTTTGATCGAATGTCTAATTTCATCTCCGCTCCCGAATACTGCGGTAGGAATTGCGGTCCACCACGTATACAGGTCTTGTATGTGCCAACAGAGGTTCAAGATATGACAGCGGTTTGGAGTAGTTGTCGTCGAGGGACCAAGCGCCCGTGGAATAGCCTCGAAGGGGGCCATCAGCCGTGAAGAAATCGGGAGTGCGAAATGCTTAGACTTCTACAAACTTCGGATGAATTTTAGAACAACATCTCTAAAGAAACTACTAACCATAACCTGGAAAGTAATCAAGTTCTCGATATATCATTCATTTGCATATTCAGCCCAACCACTTCCCATCAACAGTATAGCATGTTACATATCACCAAAGTAGTCAATTCATATCCATCCCTCAAGAGCGGTAATTCACAGTCACATGGCACGAATTGCAGTTTTCGGTTCCAAAGCTTCCATGTTGCATGTCACAATTGTCGACAATGGCCTGAGCAACATCATGGATCTTCTGTCCGCTGACGGGTTGATCACCACTACCGTTTGTAGCGTAGACCAGGTAGCATTCGCCTTCGCTAAATTGACTACCGTCGTTGTATGTTGCCGACGTGTCAACATTTGAAATGGCCTTGAGACAATCGTCTTTGTTCGCTGGAATCAAAGATCCGTCGCAACTAAAGACTCATTAACATTCCGAACGAAAGAGCCAAATCTAGAGAAATAATAGGGACAAGAGGACGTAAACTTACTTATCATTGTAAGCCATAGCCAACATTGCAGGAGCCACGGCTCCGATCAGGTAGGCAATAAGTTGCATCGTCGAAAGCTCGAGAAAATGGGGTTTGCGGAACAAGAAAGGTTTGAACAACAGAGTTGGAGGAAAAGCTGCAGGCTGGCCGGTGGGTAACGTCTATTTCAATAACAACTGTTCGTCTTTTTGAAGGGAAACTTGGCTCTACCAGTCCCCCACATCACATTTTAAATATCTCAGGAAAGACCCCTGAGTGGCAAATTCGACATGTGCATATTTTAAGGAGTCCTAATTTGCGAATATTTCTAGTAAGTTCAGCCGTAGGAGTTTCCTAATACGGAATATATCGTCATTACAGACTACTTGCTAGAGTAGAAGCTACTCTAGAGTGGAGAGATCTATGAGCAATGACGTAGAAACAAAATGGCCCCCACGAAACTTGATCATGCTCATTGGTTTCTCTGTCGAAGTGGAATTGTTTGCTGATCTCCAGTAATTTATTCAGAACGAAGATTGAAGCGTGAAGAGGCAATGACTCCATTAGCCCTCCACGCGGACGTGGCAAAGCTCGCCGATCTGTCTTAATACTACACCGTCTCAAAATCCGGCTTAGGGCTGTCCGAAGGACCTCGGGAGACAGATTGAATTATGAAATCAAGAATGCCACCCAGCAGGTGGGTTCCCCTTCACATCGAAGCGTAACAGTGAGAACTGATATCCTTCACTATACAATGCCGCACTTTCCTTATCTCATGCTATGTGTTCAAACTTCAGTATGATCTCCGAGGAAGGCCGATTACATTGACTCATTTTCATCCGAGTTCTGAACCAAGAGAAGCATCTTTGCAGTGCAGCTGGAAATAATCTAGACGTTGGGGAGTTTATCAATGGGCAATTTCATCGAGACTCGGATAGCGCTCCTTTGTTCTTCCAAAATACTGTGATCGGTCTCATTAGAATCATCTAGATGAGGAAAAGCCCGAGAACGAGGAACTCCAGTCAACTTGCCAGAGCTCCGCGGAATCAAGCACTGCTGATGATATTGTGTAATCTGAAATGTAGTTCGGGGAAATTGAGCTTATTCAATGTAATTTGACCATTCTGGAGTGTTTCTTCTTTGCCAACAGCGCTCAAACGAGATATATTGTGTATAGAACAAAACGCAAACCCAACCCATCTGAAAAATCTTGCAGAAATCAAGTTGCTTTCTAGAAACACTTGTTATAACAAAAGTTCCACCTAATTACTTGATTAAAGTCATCTGTGAGCCATTGACCCATCCCAAAGCCAACTTCATGCAGATATCTTGCTTACAATATCGCTAGACCGGTGATTTAAGTCAACAACAGTTTGCTACGCGCACGGGGACTCGCGCAGGGGTTAAACCAAATTGTCACTTCCAATTTCAAGTGTATACCGTGCATTTCGAGCTCTGATTTAACGTCTTTGCCAATAAAGAGAACAGATAACGGAAATCTCGCGTCAATCTCTCTGAAGTACTATATACATTCTCAGGATCGGTAATTGACAGTGACATGACAGGCATCGCAGTTTCCAGTTCCATAGCTCCCGTGCTTCTTTGCGCAGCCATCAAGAATGCTCTGGGCAACGTCATGAATCGTCTGTCCGCTAACAGGCTGATCACCACTGCCATTTGTAGCATAGACCAGATAACAGTGGCCCTCACTGAACTGACTGCCATCGTTGTATGTTGCCGATGTGTCGATATTGGAGATGGCTTTTGCGCAGTCCTTGTCAATGGAAACTAGGTCCGCGTCAAGGACGAAAGACCCCTCACAGCTGAAGATTGTTAGAAACCAGCAGTCTCAGATAGGTGCGGTAGACGTAATACTTACTTGCTGCTGTAGGCCATGGCTACTTGACCAATGGTGGCCACGGGAAGGAGATAAGCCCAGAGCTGCATTTTCACGGATGTGGAAGAGATGGTAAGATGGTAAGATGGATTTTGCGATTGACACTTGTGGGTTGAAGTTAAGTAAAGGTCGGAGAAATGGCAACTTTTTATACCACATCTATAAGAATATAGGATCCCTCAAGGCCATAGTGGGTCATTCCTGCTATCCGCAATACGTATGTCATACCTTGAGCTTCCTAAGGGCAGTTTCCTAATCGGGTAAAGGTGACGCAGTGGCTTGGTGAGTAGACATCCACGTAGCCTGGAGTGGCGAATGTAACCGTCTATCCCGCAGACTTCAAACGATAGAAACAGACTACCATATATCACGGATGGTAAATATACTCCGTCTGTCTCCACTCATTAGCAAGGTAGATTGACGAGAGAAACACGTGTGTTTATCGAATGGGTCAATAACACTTGCTCAGAGATAGTCAGTAGACAAGGATGCTGATCCATTCGGCATACCTTCTAACTCGAAAGATTGCGGCCATCGTTTTGAAAAGTGACATAGGAGGCCGCAGTAACTATCGGGTATAAAGCATGGGCCGATCCATTGAATCCTATGGTTTACTAGTCAAAATCGTTTCACCTCCTGAACACTCGACAACCTTCACATCTCTCCCAACAACAAAATCCTTCGTCAACATGCACGCTTCAAAGATCTTGGCGACCTTCGTCGCTATGGGGGTTCACGTTGTAGCATACAACAACAAGTGAGTGGACATTCTATAACTTCAAGCCCACCAATTACTGACAATTCACGCAGCTGCGAGGGCTCCGGTGCGGCAGGCATTGCCCTCATTCCTCAGAACTGCATTAATGCGAAGAATGCCATCGATACTTCGGCGACATACACCGACGGTACCGAGTTCAGCAAAGGCAACTGCTACGTGAAGTACGCGACCAACGGCAGCGGAGACCAACCTATCTCAGGCCAAGACATCGTGAATACCATGACTACCATTATGGACAGCTGTGACTTGAGGATTGGCAGTTTTGGCACGGGAAACTGCGATAGTTGCCACGTGACCATCAATTACAGGGCATGAGTTGTTACCTCTTGTTCACAGTAGAAAATGTCTGTGACTGTGATTACAATTGAGTGGTGGAGGAGCATGGAAAACTCGAGTCTGAATTTCTCGTTCTCTTGAAGATGATGTGAACCAAAGTCATCTAAGTCATGTTCATACTGAATCATACAATCTTTCTCAATTTATTATGGAAAACACCGCCTCGCCTTGTAGAATATAATAGCCTAATCGTTGGCCGTCACCCTTTTTCCAAACACAAGCGAAGGAGATATCACTTCGTCCTACACCACGTGGGCTGGAGTGGGTCGGCGATTATAAGGCCCCCGCCACATCGCCCACCGTAGCCCGCCGTTAAGGGACAGCGGTCACTTAAACGCGGAGAATGTCCGAGCCTATGAAACCCACCTGCCT